GACATGAATTCGTGGGTCTCTTCAGACCACGAAAACAACGAAAATTCAACCCCCACGAAAATGTGTGATTTCACAGTACATTGCAGAAAATCATTAAAAATATGTATATAATAGCTCCTAAAAGTTAACGGATTTTGTTAATTTATTGAGAAAATTCCTATTATTCCTTTGGATCTGATCATGAGAAAAACATGGGGGAATGTTGATAGTGTGTGATTAATTTTTTTAGAGCATGCAGACTATCCAGACAATGACGAAAATGTAGCAGTTATAAACTGTGGAAGAGACACCAAATTCCAACGTTATTACTCAAATCAGGACTCCGATATAAAGCATTGCCTGGGTAAAAGACATTACTTTGATATATATATTATCGCTTTGTAAAAATGTGAAATCAGTGTATGCCCTGTAGTCCTATTTTGTTAGGTCACCTGGGTAAACTCAGGTGACCTATTGCTATCCGTTTTTGTCCGTCGTCGTTCGTTGTGCGTTAACATTTTAACATTTTCAGCTTTCTGCTCTGCAACTGCTCAACCGATTTTTCCCAAAGCATCTATGGGTGAAGGGGAACAAAAATTGTGGCTTTCATGGTCCCTGAGGCTTGAGGGGTGATGCCAAAACCACTAAAATAAATGCAATCTTCAAAAATCTTCTCCTTTACTCCTGGACATCAAGCACTCAAACTGTTGGTATGATTGTAATGAGCATTGAGTCCTTTACCAAAATTTTGAAATTCATGGCCACAGGGTCAAGGATTCTAGTGTTCGGGCGAGGTTAGATTGATTATGTAGTGAAAAATGCATTATTTCTTCTCTGCTCCTGGGCATTAAATAAACTAACCAAGTACACAGTTGTGTTGAATAAGACTGTCTCTTTCAAAATTTTGAATTTCATGGCCCTTGGGTCAATTTCAAATGATAAGGCTCGTGATATTAAAGATTTGTTGTTCAACAACTAGGGCTGGGCTATATAGATTATTTAGTGAAAATGCCTAAATTCTTTGAAAATCTTTTTCTCTGCTCCTAGGTATTAAACAAACTATCTGAGTACATAATTATGATGAGCAAGAATTTCTCTTCCAAAATTTTGAATTTCATAGCCCCTGGATCAGGGTTCTGGTGTTAGGGCGGGGCTATATTGATTACATAGTGAAAATACATTAATTCTTTGAAAATCTTCTTCTCTGCTCCTGGGTATAAAACAAACTAACCAAGAACATAGTTATGATGATGATGGGTGTCTCTTCAAAAATTGTGAATTTTATGGCCCTTGGGTCAGGGGTTCTGGTGTTAGGGCTATTGATTATTTATTGATTACATAGTGAAAATACATTAATTCTTTGAAAATCTTTTTCTCTGCTCCTGGGTATTAAACAAACAAACTAAGTTAATAGTTATAATGAGCGATAATGCCTCTTCAAAAATTATGAATTTTATGGCCCCTGGGTTAGGAGTTCTGGTGTTAGGGTTAGGCACTACTGATTATATAGTGAAAATACATTAATCCTTAAATAAACTGACCAAATATATGGTTATGATGAGGAAGGATACTTCTTTCAGATTTGTGAATTTTATGGCCCAAGGTCTGGGGTTTATGTGTTAGGGTAGGGCTGTATTGAGTATAAAGTAAAAAATGCATAAATTATATTTAAAACTCTTCTCCTCTTCTCCAAAGTATTTAACCAATGAAGTATGTACATAGTTATGATGAGGAAGGATGCCTCTTCCAAAAGTGTGAATTTCAGAGTCTCAGGGCATGGGTTCTGCAGTTTGTGCGGGGCTCTTATGAAAATGCCTTTGCTTCTGGGTTTTATACCAATGATCTAAGTACATATTTATGATGAAGAAAGGTGACTCTTCCAAAATGGTCAATTTCATGACCCCTAGGTTGGGGTACTGGATTTGTGGCGGGGATTGGTTGGTACATAGTCTGAAAATAAATCAATGCTTTGATATCTGCTCTTTGGTATTAATCAACCGTTTATCATAAAATAAATTAATGTAAAAATTTCAAAAATTTTGAAATATGTGGCCCCAGGGTCAGTGGTTTTTGTGGGATGGGCTGCACAACTGTTGTTTATAAAGGGGAAGTGCATTTTCTCTTTGTTACTCTGATCTACCTCTGGGTATTAAGTGTATAAATATGAGAAACAATTGTCGCTCTTTCCAAATTATGAATTTCATTATTTGCTTTTGGTTTAAAACACGAACCAAATTCATTATTGAAAAGTTGTTACATGTACATGATACTCAGATGACCTTTAAGGCCTGTGGCCTCTTTTTTCATTGTATTAGGCCTACTGATAAAACAAACACCTAAAGGTTATATCATAAATTAGGTTTATGATCCTGTTTGAGTACAACATATGAATATTTATTTTGGCAACATACTTCGGTGCACACGCCAATGTTTTATTTTTCAGATGATGTTGAATTTGGGGGACCAAGTCCGCTTACAGCTGCATTTTTTCTGTCTACCGATGCTTACTGCATGTAAATAGAAATGGTGATTTGTTCCCTCAATTTTATTTTTTATTTTCAACCTTATTTGTTTATTATCCTTCGTTTATTTTTTTCATGGCCATATGTTACTTTTGCATGACATTGTGTGTCACAGTTCAATCATAAACAGGGGTTATAGTTAATGGTATACGCATGTATAAAATGACAGTAAAGTAGACTTGTTTAGAAGATATTTTTATTTTAATGTACGGATATTTTGAACTGTGAAAGAACATACCGTCGTAAAACTTTTCTGTATGATTTTGCTACAATATTTAATTCTTACGACAGGGTATACACGAAGGTTTGGAGATTTTCACAATCGTCCCAGAATAATTCTCATTTCGGATGGAAAACCCACAGATTTTACGGCCATCAATGTTATTGATGTTGATGATTCTCCGGACTTTGAGACTGAAATGGTATGAACAAAAAGAAAAGTTTTTTAGATAATTTTTCTCTGGTCTCTGAGTAAAATATTCTCAATGGGAAATAAAGCAGCAGAAAAGCAATCAATTGTTATAAAATGTTTTTTGACGGGTGACTTTTATTTACACGTTTATTAATCATATATATTGATGGTTAAGACAAAAACCATTTACTGCAGTATACAAATAATGTTGGCAAGTTACATCCCATCTTCTGCATTCCTGTTGGAAGAAACCCCGACTTGGTAATCTGTATTTAATTTGCAATATTGATAATTTTTATATTTCACTGTAAAGAGGTTCGTCTCTTTTTTTATCTTACGCCGTCAGATTTTCAAATATCGATATTCAACAGATATTACTGAATTCCTGAGTGCTCAGTCAAGGGGAGGAAAGATTATTTATCCCCATAAGGCCCGACAGTTTGCAAAATATACAGCAAATACCCAGAAATAACTTTACGGAGAAACCATGTAAAAATACCTCTTATCTGTATTTTACAATAATAGAAAGAAATTTTTAACAGTATTTTCTCAATTAATATTCGTTTCTTTAGGTTTCAAGACTGTGAATATATCTTTTTTCAAAGAATACTGCCCCCATGTTATCGTATACAATGAGGAATGATGGGAATGACCGCGACATGATTCTGACGTTACTGGCTTGTAAATTTCCTGATAAAGAGTTCTTGGAAAGAGACCAGGTATTGAATAAGAAATGAGGTTTCATACCGCTTAAGACGACACTCTGATGTCAATAGAAGAAATTTTAATTTAGTATCCTTTCTTTTTATTCATTTAAGCATGAAATTAGAGTTTTTAGCCATTTATTGAGTACTTCACGTTCATGTTCCTAAGGTTTTCTGGATTATAATTATTTTTTAGGGGGATATATTAGAAATTTACTCCAAGAAACCATTATATAATTGGAGGATGCTCTGAAGGAAGAACTTATCGATGAAATGGATGATGTACATCAAGAGAGAGACCCCCGAATGCCTTCTCTAGGTTCAAGGGTCAAACGTGGGAGGGACTGGAAGTGGAATTATCAGGATAGCAATGGTCCTGGTACAGTCATAGGACATTTAAAAGATGGTAAGAGCAGTTTCATTACAAATCTTTGATACTTTTCAGTAAAAAATAAATGAATAAAAAATAAAATCGGAATACGTTCTATTTTACAGAAGAGGATTCATGGTAGTTACCATTTTTTAATGTATTTTCACACATATAATAAGCAAATAAGATTAAAAAAAAATTATTTTATGTTTTTTTGTTTTAATCCTTGATACCAAATTATTTTTCATCTGGGGAGAAAAGTTTTTTTGAGTTATTTATCCTTAAAAGGATACACTGTAGTTGTCTATAACCTCTCATCGTACTTGCCTGTATTCTTGGCTTTAAAGTGTACGTATACATTTGAGAATTACTGTGTGGGTAAGCAAAGACCCATGTCCTTTTAAATTTCTTCCGTTTTGATTTCAAACTTTTTTGGTCTAATTTGTCACTTTTTTTCTCTTAATTTCTGGATTAAAAATTTAGACCCTTTAAGTAGTTGCAACAGACAGTTGAATTTTTAATTGACATTTGATTTATTTTTCGTTGTAATTTGTAAACGCTGAATAAATTTTCGTCCTGTAAGTGATTATCGATTTACAACCGGTCATTCATATTAAAAGTTTCTTTTTATTTGGAAAATTATAACAATCTCAAAAAAGTTTTTTCGCATGAAACTATTGCAACTGGATGCCTGGTAAAAAGAGGTAAAGCTCGTTCTATATGTAGATAAATTTATAATGAAATACCCAAAACGGAAAAAAAAATATATTGCAGATGTTTTTCGGTTATTTGCCGTTCATGACAATTAGCACACAGCGAATGTGACCGTTCGGTAGGGATGCTTACTCCTTCATGACACATGATCCAATCTCTGATGTTCTTGAGGTCCGTTTCTGCTTCGCTCCTATATAGGTCCTGATTGGAACTGGGAAGATCAGGACTGCGGTACTGGAAGTATTGGATCCGTTTACAGAGTAAAACGAAATGGAGCTGTGTATGAACGTGATCAATAATGAACTCTATTTTTCTTTTACTTTAAAATACAAGGTAAAGAAATGTCTCTACAAAATTCATATCAAATATTTTCCTTCGACAGATACCTCCTTAATAATGAAAAGTGTAATTTAAAAAAAATTGCTCACTCAATACTCAGCAACACACACACAAAAATCACTATTTCTCTCTTACAGGTACGATAGCCGAATGGCCAAATTTCAGAAAACAGGTTTGGACATAATGGATAATATGATCTGCAGATACGGTAATTATCGTTTTGACTGTCTGTCGCGGGTTTGATAAAAGAGCTATTCCACTCACAACCAGTGGATAAGTGTATAATATGTCTAAAAGATTTTTCATTGCAATCTGTACTCCTACACAAGTCTAATCTTATCTTAGCATAACTATTTCTGTTTCTCGTTTGGAAAAAAAATTATAGACTTGTTCGACTTTTTTGTTTCTCAATAAATATCACATTATTGTCTACTTTAAGTGTCAGATCCAAGCACATATTATTATCCTAAATGCTCCATGATTGTGATTTTCCATCCTTTGGTATGACTTCGACATTTGTCGATTTCAGTAGTATTTTTTACTATTTGTCGATATTTATACTAATGTCAAAAGGCATATCGAATAGCATCTAGGATTGTCTCAGATGTATTCTATGACAGTCAAAAACAAGAGGCCCATGGGCCACATCGCTCACCTGAGCAATGTAGCTAGCAAAAAAGCACAAATCAGTTAATTTTTGAAAAGTTTAAACCCAAAAATGGTCCCAACCAATCCTTAAAAGGGAGAGGGTATGACTTGAACAAACTTGAATCTTCACTAACAAAGGATGCTTGCATATTTCTTTGACTACTTGTGGCTTTATTGCCCTTTACATTTGAACTTACATTGTGGCCCCACCCTACCCCCAGGGGTCACTGACTTGAACAAAGTTGAATCTACACTATGAATAGGACTAATCATGGCTTTGCTATTCCTGAAAAGAAGATATTTAAAGATTTTTTTCAACATGTTTCTATGTAAAACTTGGACTCTATGTTGTGGCTCCGCCCTACCTCCAGGGGTGATGATTTAAATAAACTTGAAAGTCCACTATCTTTGGATGCTTCCATAAAAATATGATCATTCATGTCCTTGCTATTCCAAAGAAGATTTTTAAAGAATTTTCCTATATACCGGTATTTCTATGTGAAACTTTGATCGGCCATTGTGGCTCCGCCCTACCCCTAAGGGTCATGATTTGAACAAACTTTAATCTCCACTACGTGAGGATGCTTCCATAAAAATATGATCAATCATGCCTATGCTATTTCAGAGAAGATTTTTTATTAAAATTTTCCTCTATATTTCTATGTAAAAAAACTTTCATCGGCCATTGTGGCCCCGTCCTACACCTGGAGGTCATGATTTGAACCAATTTGAATCTTCATAACCTGAGGATGCTTCCATAAAAATATGATCAAGCATGCCTATGCTATTCCAGAGAAGAAGATTTTTATAGAATTTTCCTATATACATGTATTTCTATGTAAAAAAAAAAAAAAAAAAAAAAAAACTTTGATCGTCAGTTGTGGCCCCGCCCTACCCCCGGGGGTCATGATTTGAACAAACTTGAATCTACACTACCTGAGGATGCTTCTCTATAATTTTCATCTTTCCTGGCTCAGTGGTTCTTAGGAAAAAGATTTTTAAAGAATTTTCCTATATACATGCCTTCTGTCTCCATAAATACATGAGGATATTTTTAAAACAGCCTATAGAGACAGAAAGGTTACATTATCGATAACATGTACAAGGAATGAATATAAGAATACTCGAAAATTTAAGGGAAATCATTTCGATCTCTTATTTTGAAAAAAAAAATAATTTAAAAGTGGGGGATCAATATATACCTTTAGTGTCAGTGCAGCTAAATTTTGAAGCCTGTCTTATCAAAAGAGTTCAATCTTATGTGATGATTGATTGTATACTGTTTAACCTCCCTCTCCAGAGTATTTCACTGATATGGAGACGTCACCATTGCCGTCGAAGGGCTGCAAATTTAGGCCTATGCTCGGCACTCAGGGCCATTGAGCAGGGAGGGATCTTTATAGTGCCACATCTGCTGTGACACGGGGCTTCGGTTTATACGGTCTCATCCGAAGGACCGCCCCATTTAGTCGCCTTTTACGACAAGCAAGGGGGTACTGAGGACCTATTCTAGTCCGGATCCCCACGGGGCCCTTATCTTATGTGATGATTACAGGTACTACAGCCAGATGATAATTGTCAAATAATATCAATAATTGATATTTTCTTTTTTATATTTTTTATATACTATAAATGAGCAATTTAAAACTTAGGTAGTATAAACCAGTATGAAGTTAATCAGAACGACATATTGTACACTATAAAAATTACATTTTTCTTTTTAGGTCTTGTTAGACAGACTAAACAAATACTGGCCAAACCAGCTGCCTGAAAGACCTCAGTATGACTTCTGGTGAGTCTAACATATACTTTCAGTTTGTCACTTATTTATTTAATTTTAATGAAAATCTTTAATTATGCAAGTTTCATGTATAAACATTCTGGTAGAGGAATATTTAAAAGAAAGGTCAGTTTATCAAAATGTACATTCATTATTAATTCCAAACATTTTTCTTTCATTCTTTAAAATTAAACAATATCATATTTAAACAGATCAGCATTTAAATTCTTTAAAGCTTGAGACAAAAAAAAAATATCTATTTGCCTTGATTTTTTATGCATAAAAATGCAAACATGTATCAAACAAAAAATTAAAAAGACACCAATTGAAAGGAAAACAAAAACCATATACTTTAAACTGATTTGCAGGAATTTATTTTCTATAATAAATATTCAAACAATTATGCATAAAGAAAATTTCTCGTATTTCTTGCCATGATAATGTGTCCAAGATTCATTATTTCAATGCAACAAATCAAAATTTTGAGTCAATGACATGCTATATACATGACTACGAGAAGCTGTCGTAAATATGCTTCTATGTCTAGCTTCCCTCCATGAAATTCATCAAGAATACCCTTTTAACATCAAGTCAAATTAGTATGAAACTACAATTAAATATGTCAGAAAATAAGTTCTAAAATAAAATTATATCAAAATCATAAACATATAAAAATTGCAGACCATTGGACATCTTATTGAGCAATGATTAAATAAACTTGATTTGTTGCATTACAAATTGATTTTTTTTTTAAATAAAGCAGTATGATAAAATAATAAATTAATAATACTAGTATTATTTATTATGGTTTTAAAGCTACATGTACATGTAAGTGTAGAAATTAAATCTGATAACTGAAACTTGCATTTTCTTCTTTGGAGAAATACAAGTCAATGTCCAGTGAATAAATTCTTAAATGTTGTGAAATATTTTCCAAAATGTACAAAGGGAGAGATATCTTGAAAAATAAGTGAAGTGATAGGTTTTTTTTTCCTCTTCAAAAATATTTCGTTTTATAGAACACGGTGTACTGATATAATCTTATTTTATAACTTATTTTCTTACATATTTAAATTTAATTTCATACTAATTTGACTTGATGTGTAAAAGGTATTTAAACCATACACCATTCCTGAAGAAGGAGAAGAAAAGCTAAACAGATTTGTTTTATTTCTTTTTAAGAATTTTCCAGTTTGAATTATTCATCTGATATGCTGCCACTTGGTTTCTGAGCACAGGGCTCCATTTAGACCGGTGCTCGGTACCTAAACGCTAAAGAACCTACTGCAACATCGAACTTCAGTTTATACAGACCCATCCGATGGATGGGGTCTTTACGTTCCATGGTAGATTCGAATCCGTGGCGAAAGAATAAGCTCCTGGCTCCGCGACTGTACGTGCATGCAGAGCAAACACTCTAAACACTGCGCTTCGCAAGCGACAAACATTCTAGTTAAACTTGTATTGCCTGACTGTCCTAGACAAAGAAATTTTTCTCTCATTATGCAAATTTTAAAGTAACAACAGCATTAAAACGATTATGATTTTACTGCTTATTATAATGTTAGTGGGAAAACACAATCTGCATTTGATTCTTGAGGACTAGAAAATGTGTACATTATTTTAGACATATGTCGTCGGTGAAGAATACAAGAGCAATTTTCACTTTTATTTTATTTTAGGAAACACGAATGGGAAGCACATGGTAGATGTGCAACAATAGTAAAAGAAACTGACACAGAACTAAAGTATTTTAACGAAACTCTCGACCTTCGTTTAATCAATGATGTTGGCAGGTAAGAGTAAGACTAAAATTATCCTAGAGGTACCACACCTTGCAAAACGCAATGTATTTTTGAAATGAATCAGGACTGAATTATAATCATTCCACAAAAATTTACAAAATCATTTACAAAAATCCATTCATTTTATGCCCCCATATTGGGTAGCAGATAGTTTTTGCACTGTTCGTTCGTCAGTTGTAAGCAAAATATTAACTTTGCCCAAACCTTTTGATAGGTTGGATCTTTGGTTTTCATATTTCCTATGAATATTTCTTGCGACAAGACCATTACCGTCATGGTTGCTTAGTCGATAGAGGGATGGCTCGTGATCGGAAGGTCGTGGGCCCACAGGTGATGTGAGATCGAGATGAGTAATAGTAAACATCACCTGATGAGCGGTCCCACCAAACATCCCACTTTGTATTGATGAGAAGACAAAACTTTATAGAAACAAGAGGCCCATGGGCCACATCGCTCACCTGAGAAGCTTTGACCATTCTGTTCTTTTACCAGATTGCACCCTTGTTATACAGAATGCATCCCCATCCTACCCCACTGATCATAATTTAGACATTTTGAAATCTACACAACCCCATGATCCTTCCATGGGCACATATATTTCAGCTTTATTGGCCCAGTGGTTCCTGAGAAGAAGATTTTCAAAGATTCTTCCTATATATTTCTATGTAAAAATTTGATACCCCATTCTGGCCCCGCCCTTCCCCTGGGGGTCATGATTTGAACAATT